CGTCGCCCTGCGCCTGGCCAACTGCTGCCTGGTGCGCACCAGCTTCGTGCCCGACGAGCACTGGCAGAGCCTGGAGGTCGCGCACCGCCTGGCCTTCGGATATCCTTTGGGGCGGGCGGGGGGCGCCTCCTACCCCGGGGTGTGCGCGTGTGTGTATATGTGTGTGCGCGCGCGGAAGTGTGCGCCGGCCGCGGTGCAGCCCTTAACGTGCTAATTATGGGCACCTGACCTGGGAGTGGACGGCAGGACTGAGGGGTTACACGTACCCCTTGATCTTTGCAAGCATTTACAAGACTCTGCACCTGCTGGGGAGGGACAGCGTCCAGCTGCTGGTGAGTGCGGGTGCGGCGGGCCGAGTGGGGGGGCCCGCATTTGGACCTAGGGGGACACCGCCCTCGAGAAACCACCGCGAGAGCAGCGTGCGCGCTTGCTTTCTCACTTGTGCGTGGAAGGCCGTGTTATACGAATTTACCAAGACTGGAAACACACAAACCTACCCAGAACTTAGTGTTGAAATTAAACCTTAGAAAAATGTGACAAACACGTGGCACCAGAAGCGATCGTGGTGCTGTGTAGCGGCCGGACCTGAGCAGTGGGTGGGGTTGTGCACATTCTGAAGTGGGACAGGACACAGGGACCTGGCAGCACAAAGGCGTCTCTAGGCTGCAGACCGTGGGCGCCTCCATCGAGCTGGGCTTGGAAGCAGGGTTCCAGCTTTCAGGCAGGCACGGCCCACGCTCTGGGCGCAGAGATCCCAGAAGGAGGCCAGAGCCTTAAGAACTGGGATTTTCTTGCCCCTCCACAGCGAGAATCAGACCCGGGAACCTACAGCCGGAGGGGGAGGGATGCAGAGGGAGCAAGGTTCTCTCACCTACACAGATGGCCCTGGGAAGTAGTGAGCTCGTTCCTCAGAGCTGACCTCTGCTGCTGGATGTGCAGTGCCTCAAACCACAGACAAGTCAGTACACGTAACGTCAGCTAGGTCGTCTCCCATCCCAGAAATGGGTCCGATTGCGAAGGACACATAGCACCAGACCTAGCCACTGCCTTAGACTCTCAGCCCAGCTAACAGGCCTCTCTGTGATTGAACTGGGACCTTCCCCCAGAAATTCATTAGGAGGGCATAAGTTAATTTGATTATTTCAAAGTAGGTTAACTTTGAAGCTAGAAGGGCTCAAAAAAGTGAACAGGCTAAGATCACAGTATTAAAAGTAGAGCTAGAGTTAACTCCCTAGGTCTTCTTACTCACAGCCTCATGTTCTGTCCTCATAGCTGTTGGGGGGTATTTTTATCTCATCTCATTTCCCCCCTCCCCTATGTAAAAAAGCTTTGTTTCCATTTTGTTTTTTGAGACAGGGTCCCACTATGTACTTCAGGCTGGCCCTGAGCTCACTGTGTAGCCCCAGCTGGCCTCAAACTCACAGTGATCCTCCTGCCTCAGCCTTCCGAGTGCTGGGAGTACAGGCGTGTGCCATCACACCAAGCTTCCTATAGCTTTTTTTTAAAACTTCATGAGAATCCAGGCATGGTAGCGCTTGTGTGTAATCCCAGTAATCAGGAGGCTGAGGCAAGAGAATTGCAAATTTGAGCCTAGCCAGGGTAACAGTGACTACATAGCCAGGCTGTTTTAAAAAGCAGAAACAAAACACACACGCACACGCACACACACATTTGCTGTCTGTATACATACATGTATGGCATGAGATGTGTGTAGAGGCTGAGAGGGCCTTGCGCTGTGCTGTCCTGTGTGGCAGTGACCTACGTGTGGCTGCTGGATACGTGAAATGAGGCCCATGTCAAACGGCAAGTACCAAAAAGTAACATGTCCCTGTTTTTATAGCGATTCAAATGCTGACGTTTTAGGACCAGATTTGCAGTTATTAAGCCATACGAATTCTTTTGGCTGCTCTAAACTTTGAAATCAACACGTGGCTCTCGTCACTGTTGTCAGCCAGCGGGGCCCAGGATACCCGTGCCAGGAGGCTGGGCTGGCAGGGCCACGGAGGCACCTCTGCGGGTAAGCCCAGGCGGAGGAGCCCTGTGCTCCTCCTCTCGCCCACCTGCATGGCCGTTTCCTGTCCTGAAGCTCCATACGGTTTTATTTATTTTTGGTCAGTTTCTTCCTGCAACCTAAAAGGCCACGCTGAAAAGTGCAGAGATTGCTAATGAGCAGGAATTCAGAACATTGCAGGTGTTTCTGTTTGGTTAGAGACCTGTTTTCCTGTTGAAGACCTGTGTGTAACAACTGCTAGTTAGCTTCCCTTACTGGAGACAGGTAAAGGAATGAAAGGCTGCAATTTTCTGCGCGGGGAGCCGACCACGGCCAGTGCAGACTGAAGGAGGGAATGATGGGGTCCCAGGACCTGAACCCCAGGCCCTGCCTCCAGCCCCACACCTCAGGTCCCCAGCAGGCGGCCGGGGCCGGTCCCGACCCGAGTAGTAGGAGGACCCTGCGGCAGCGTTTTCCTGCCCAGCCTGGCCCTCCACAGTCACCTCCACAGAGAGGTCCTCGAGGCACTACTGCAAGTGGCACAGACGCACCTGGAGCTCGTGCAGACGCTCAGGGTGAGGCCGGCAGCCAAGCTGGAGGTGCAGCTGAGGCAACAGGGACCCTGCCACCTGTGTCTGGAGACGTGGCCTGGAAAGCTCTGCCCCAGGAGTTTCAACAGCCGGAGTGGAACAGTGTTCAGTGTAAAGTTAGTCACAAAAGACGGAGTCACATGGAAATTCTTAGCAGCAGCGTGAGCAAGCCAGAGTTAATTGTGCTGCACCAGCAGTAACTATGGTACATCTTTCAGCTCTGAGATGCTCGTGTAAATTGGTTGTTTAGTAAATTTGTTCTTTAGTTTGTTTGGTTTTTTTTGCTCTTTTATCTTGGGCTGTGGATGGAACCCAGCATCTCACACATGCAAGGCACGTGCCCTACCTCTGAGCCGTTCTGCACATGTACTCTTTAGTGTGGTCTGAAAACCAGGACTTACCATACTTGTGGGCTTTCGAAAGTGCTTGTTTCACAGTCGCTGTGGCAGGACGGGGACATAACACAGCTGAGGTGACACAGGCATGGCTTGGCCTCCCAGACAGGCCGAGGTGTCAGGCCTCTGAGCTTGGCCTCTCTGCAGCCTTGGGGAAGTGCCTTCCGCTCCCTCTGCCGCAGCCTCCCCATCCACACAGCAGTGTGAACCAACCTCCTCCAGAGTATGAGGACTGAGGGGGCCAAAGAGTATAAGGCCCTCAGCATGGCACTCAGCACACACTGCTGGAAGTGTCTGATTTTAAAAGATCAGTGGTATGCGCTGATAAAATAAGTATACTTTTTATTTTTGGAGGTACAGAGGGTTAAACCCACGACCTTCATGCGTGCTGGGCAAGTACTATTCCACTGAGCTGCATCACCAGCCCTATTTTATTTTGAGTCAGACTTGCTGAGTGGCCTGGGATGGATGGAGCTTGCTGCCCTCCTGCCTGAGCCCCTTGAGTAGCGGAAGTTACAGGTGTGTACTACCATGCCTCACTTCAAAACTAAATATACTTCTGGGCTGGGATTTAGCTCAGTGGTTGCACTGTCTGCCTCATAAGCACAAGGTCCCAAGTTCGATCCCTGGTACCAAAAATAAATATACTTATAAAATAGAATCTTAACACAATAAAATGGCTTGTTGGATATTTAAAATACAGTATTGCAGGCATAGTGCCCCACACCTATAATACTGCACTGTGAGAGGCGGAGGCAAGAGAATCCCACGTTTTGAGCCCTGCCTGGCCAGTCTACTGACTGTGAGAACCTGTCTCAAAATAAAAAATAGAAAAATGTCTGGGAATGTAGCGCAGTGCAAGGACCCTGGGTTCAATCCCCAGCACTGCAGGAAGAAAAAGTGTTGATGAATAAGTGTGTGCTGTATGTGTGTGTATATGTGTGCACTCATGTGCATTATATGTGTGTGTGACAACAGTAAAAGCACCTTTGGTGTGTCCAGGAGAAATGAGTGTCACTTTGTAGAGAGGCGTTTATCTTTGCAGAACAGAATAACAGGCTGTGTCTCCTTTTGTGCCAGGAATGGCTCTGGACCGATGGTTGGATCAGTTGGTGACCTTGACATGTCGGCGCAAACCTAGAGTCATTTCACTCCTTCTTCCTGTCACTGGTGCAGGTCTGGACACCCAGACTGGCCCAGGCTCTGCTGTCGGCTGTGGCGGACGTGAAGCTTTACTCGCTGACCAAGCGGTTGGAGACCCAGGAGGTGGCCAGATGGGTGGTGAGTCCGGGGCACCCCGCAGCTCTTGCCAGGATTTCCTCCCTCTGGGCCACAGCGCCTCCCAGCGCTCCTTTCGGGGACCTGGTGGGGCTTGGTGCTGGTAGCGTACAGAGTGGGCAGCTGGGTCCCATGGAAGCTGGGCTGAGGATGGGGCCTGGGAGCCCTGGCCTGTGTGGTCAGTTCCAGCCGCTGCCCAGCACGCGGCAGGGCATTCCGAGTCCTGCCCACTTCCTGGCACCTCCTCCTTCAGCCTCGGGGTGCAGCGAGAGTGAGGTCCTCTTGCCTGGCCAGAAGGTCCCAGCAAACAGGAGGCATAGGAAGAGGCTGGCTTTGTCCTCTGCCCTATCTCTAGGAGGGGACACAGGGTCCCAAAATCTCCTATTCAGATCCTGAGCATGGAACTGTTGTTAGTGCACACAGCTCTTTCCC